AAAATACCTGTGGCATAGCTTCCAGAATTGCAGGAACACACAAGTCACCACAGTATGACAAACTGACAGACAAGTGGTGGGTTCTGACTCATAGTAACCCTGTTAGAGGGTTTCTGTTGAGCCACTGATGGATTTGAACCACCAGCTATATGGTTCAAACTGTCCTTGTATTCCAATGCATATCATACAGCGCCACATCAGAACTCCTGCTAGATAGCAGACCCTGCTATTTTTGGTAATGGGAGGTTAACATCGAAGCGTACCCAGTGTGACAAAAGTAAAAGGACCTACTGGGAACTGCTGTGGTGTATATAATGAATCCAGCACTCCCCTCTCAGTGTGCTGTACTGTGGTGGCTTGTGTATTGCTGCGATGCTGGGAGCCATGCCAGCAGTATTTTAAATGCCAGCAGGGTCACCCATGGTGGACAGATTTCAATAGAACTTACACACAAACACAGACTAGGAAGAATGACTTGGCAGTCTACTTCTGAAAAAGTTGGCCACTGAAAAGATGATGAGTAGCAGAACATTGCCTGATAAAGTGCCTGAAGATGAAATTGTCTGATAAAGTGTCTCAGACTGGAAGGCACTCAAAATACTACTAGGGAAGGAAAGAGCTGCCTCCTCAAAGTACAGTTAATCCTAATGACATGGATGAAGCAAAACTTTCCGGACCTTCATTTGCTGATGGGGCACAACTCAAAATGAGACGAAACAGTGGCAAACATCTGTTAATAATCATATGTAGAATGTATGAAGTATGTTGTTGTTGTTAGGTGCCTTTGAGTCACTCATAGTGACCCTGTATAGGGTTTCTGATGAGCGGTTGGTGAGTTTGAACCACTGACCTTATAGTTCAACTGTTCAACCTTTACAGTCCAGTCCTTATCCTACAGTGCCACACTAGGACTCTGTATGAAGTATTTGTGTTGGTGTTAAGTGCCATTGAGTCGATTCCAATTCATAGCGACCCAGTTTTTAAGAATTTCCATAGTGTTTCTAAGGAGCAGCTGGCGGGCTGGTGAGCCTGAACCACCAACCTTGTGGTTCAAATTGAATTGGAAGTTGTAATAATGAAATGAAATGCATAGTGATTGATATCCTTGGCATTAGTGAGCTGAAATGAGCTGATGTTGGCCACTTTGAATCAGATAATCATGTTGTCTACAATGCTGGCATTGACAAATTGAAGAGGAATGGCATCATGTTCATTGTCAAAATCACTCCTAAAGTACATCACTGTCAGTGCGAAGGTATATCCTGTCAACACACCTATAAGGGAGATGAGTCAATACGATTAGGATTCAAATTTATGCACCAACCACTGAATACCAAAGATAAAGAAGTTGACAATTTTTACCAAGTTCTGCAGTCTGAAATTGATCAAATATGTGGTGAGGATGCATTTTTAATTACTGGCAATTGGAATGCAAAAGTTGGAAATGAAGCAGAATTGGCAGCTGGAAAACACAGCCTTGGTGAGAGAAATACCAGAGATCGCATGATAGAATTTTGTAAGACCAACAACTTACTCATTGCAGATCCCATTTTTCAACAACACAAAAAGTGACTATACACATGAACCTCAACAGATACACAGGAATCAAATCCACCACATCCTTAAGAGGAGATGCTTGAGAAGCTCAATGCCACCAGTCAGAACAAAGCCAGGGGCCAGTTGTGGAACAAACTACCAATTGTTCATATGCAAGTTCAAGTTGAAGCTGAAAAAACTTCAGTCCATGAGAGCCAAAATACAACTTTGGTGTGGCACCATAGGGTAAGCACTTGACCTCAAGGTCGGTTTGAACCACAAAATTGGCAGTTCAAACTCACCAGCATCTCCTTGGAAACCCTATACAGGTTCGTTATGAGTCAAACCGATTTTACGGCACTTAACAACAGCTACATCTGAATTTAAAGACTATATCAAGATTAGGTTGGGATAAAGAACTAGGGCCTATGATGCAAACTGCTAAAACCCAAGTCCTTCTTGTCTCTCTTCTGGACTTTTCACTAGTCTTCTAGTTCCTTACTTTGCTTATAGCCTAACCTCCTCCCAGCTTAACCAAGCCATTTATTTAACCTCCCTTTGCCCCGTATCAGGAGCTCTGATAGCACTGTAGGATAGGCACTAGACTGTTAACCGCAGAGTCGGCAGTTGAAATCCACAAGCCGCTGCAAGGGAAAAAGAGGAGGCTTTCTGCTCCCATAAAGATTTACAGCTTCTGAAACCCTATACAGGGTGATTATGAGTCAGAATCCACATGATGACTGGGGGTAGGTTTGCCCATTCTTGGCTTTAATGCATTTTTCCAGCAGCCTCTGGTAGCATGTGTCAGAAATTACTCAAACCCCCCTCCTTACACATGTACTTGTTTGTGTACAGTTCTGCACCTTCGTAAACAGCTTCTGTCTCTCTGCAGTGATCCCCCCACAGTTTAGGTGGTTAGCGTTGAGATGTTGTTTGCCCTTCGAGACCTGCTCACTTGCTACCTTCTCTAGAAAGCATTCTTAGAAACCCTGGAAAGAGAGAGTTTGCTCTTTACTCTGTCATCTAGCAGCATACTGAAATAGCACTGTGCTTGTATTTAATGCATACAAATCTGGGGAGATATGTTCATTCAGAAAGAAAGAAGAAGTGAAGGAGGACAATTGAAACAACTCCTCCCACCATTTAACTCAGTGATCATGACTGCGTACTTTGTCATCCTTGGCTGCGGAGCCCTCTTGAGATCCTGTAAGCTCCTGTCTGCATCTTGGCCTGTTGAGTGCTGGTTAGTGTTTAAAGGTGCAAGCCATTCATCTCAGCTGCTATTCGATCCAAGAAACAGCAGTCTGGCTGTGTTGTAAGTCCATACCACTGGTACTTCATTGGTGATTCAAGGGACTTTCAGTGGTCATAGTGTTTACATGTAATTTTTAATTTGTGTGCACTTTGAAATTTAAACCCTGCCGGTGGCACTGTGGGTTCATGCACTGGACTGCAAAGTCAGTTTGAACCACAAGGTCGGCAGTTCAAGCTCACCAGTCGCTCCTTGGAAACCCTATTCAAGGTCGCTACTGGTGGGAACCAACCTGACAGCTCTTAACAACAACAAAGATGCAATATAGGCATATATCAGACTGAATTTCAATTTTTTTGCGTATGTGTTTCCTTGCTAAATCATCTTTAGAAGCTACTGAAAATTTTTCACGCCAGAGTCTATGCAAGCAGACACCTAGAATACACAGTGGTACTATCAATTCGAAACTGCAGTCACTGTGTGGGAGAAGGGTGAGACTGTTTGTTCCCGTAAAGATTTACAGCCTCAGAAACCCAATACAGGGTCATTATGAGTCAGAACCAACTCGGTACATAACCACCAACCAGTGATAACCCCATCGCTTGGTATATACTGATTGCTCAAGAAGTATGAGAAATAGATAGAAGGCAGTAACACACAGCTAACTTCACACATGAGATACAGAGTTGGGATGAAAATCAGACAGGGTTTGAGCCAACAGAATTAAATCATGTTATTGCAGGAGCACCAACCCATTTGGGATGTCATGTTTACCTACAACAAAAACAATGACCTACCATCCTGAAGGCTGACTGAGGTTATGGTTCCTAAAAGCACACCATGCTTCTCGTATGTAATTGGCCATGTGTTTACCCTATTCCTAGTACTCTTTGGGCACTGTTAGGCACATGTGTAGAAGCAGCTCTATTCTCAAGGAAGCTAGCCCCCAAATTCACAATTTACATATAGATCTCCTGATGACCCTCAAATTAGTCATAAAATTGTTTATATAAATACAAATATATGCATTGTCTAAAAGAGCAAGCCTTTGATCAGATATACCCATTGCCGACTCACAATGACTCCACAAAGTAGAACTGCTCCCAAGAGTTCCTGAGACTGTAAATCTTTACAGGAGCAGACAGCCTCGCCTTTTCTCCCAATGAGCTGCTGGTGGATTTAAGCTACTGATGTTGTAGTCAGCAGCTCAATGTATAATCCACCAGGGCTCCTTTTTATGGGATGTAATTTTCTGAATTTGAAAGATGCCAGTGTGGCCAGCACGTGGTTTCACTCCCAAGTGAAAGCATTGAATGAAACTGCTTCAGATGGGATTTGATGTTCCCAGGGGTCCTGCTAGACAATGTAGGGAGGGTCTGAGCTATTCAGGGACTGTGGCCTTCTGAGTGGACTTGACCCAAAGAGGGGACTAAAAGGCAGCATCTGTTGGGCAGTGGTGGCCTCCTAGACCCCTCTCCAACTCCAGCCCCAACTTCCATAGAAGTAAGCTCTAGTGGGGTTATTCATCCACCCCTATAGGAGGTAGGTACTGCTTGTCAACAGGATCCTCACTCCAGAAGGGCAAGCACTTTCTCATTCACCTAGCATAGTGTTGGACATGTAGGAAGGATTCCATAAGTGCCTGTTAAATTAATGAGCAAAGTAAACCAATGAGGTAAACAAACTTGTGGAGCGCAGTGGTCCGGGGTGTGCTGTTGAGTGGGTGTCTTTATGCACGACTGAAGGACACACGCTAGTCTTGTGCCATCCTCGTGGTCCACGGCATACTGAAAATTATGGCCCACAGGTTTCCATTGGCTGATTTTCCCAAGTCCACCATCAGCCCTTTCTCCCTAGTCTTTCTTTGGAAACCTTGCTCCTTCATTTAAACGGTGTGAACTTGAGGCCATGGCATTTACTCTCACTGCCTGTTTGCAGGATCAAATCAGTAGACTTGACTTTCTGTGGCCTAATAAGAAAGTACACACCGCTGATGAAATATACAGGAGCAAGATTTTCTGAACATTGTCCAGCTTGGGCACCGTTTATGCATTCTTTAGTCTTGCCCTGCTAGAGAGGTCCTAGGTTGTACCTGGGGCCAGAATACCACAGCGATTTTGGAGCCAAATAGGGAGAAATCAGTATGTCTTCCTGCCAGGCCAGCCAGCGCACCACTACTGCACACCTTCATGCCACAATTTGTTGTTTCCAGGTGATCTCTCTGTGGAAGAGGCTCAGGACCCGTTCCTGGTCAGCATCCACATAATAGCAGACCCGGGAGAATCCCAGCACCTGCAGGAGGCCATTGGCAAGGTCTTGGCTTGGATTCACCCAGACCTCCAGCTCTTCCGAGTCTCTGAGAGGAGGGCTTGTCGGAGGCGGAAGAAGGTCCCGAAAGCTGCGCAGCCGGCCCTGGCGGTGGTTCTCTTCCTGCAGGAGGAGTACGGAGAGGAGCAGATCCTGCAGCTGCACGGCACACTGCAGCGGCCGCCCTGGCACTTCCACCACACGGAGCGCGTGCACGGCCGCTTCCTGCCCTACCTGCCCTGCAGCCAGGACTTCTTCACCCTGGCTCCGGGGACCCCGCTCTGGGCTATCCGGCCCGTGCACTACGGCAAGGAAATCGTGCGCTTCACCATCTACTGCCGCCATGAGAACTACACCGACATCCTCAAGTTCTATGAGCTGATTCTCAGGCGGAGCCCCAGCCAGAGGAAAACGGACTTCTGCATCTTCCCCATCTTCTCCAATCTTGATGTGGATGTCCAGTTCTCTCTGAAAAGACTACCCTGCGACCAGACGCCAGTCCCCACCGACTCCTCCGTACTGGAGTTCCGCGTCCGGGACATTGGCGAGCTTGTGCCTCTCCTGCCGAACCCCTGCAGCCCCATCAGTGAGGGCCGGTGGCAGACGGAGGACCACGATGGAAACAAGATCCTTCTGCAGGTACTTTGTGGGCACTGTCCGTCTGTCTGTCTGTTGCCCTGTCTGTTTTAGAAAACAGAAGAACGAGTCCATTGGTTTGGCCGTGAAAAAGCAGAGAAGATCCATGACCCTGTGCCCTGTGAGCCCTAGACCAAGTTGTCCCCACTGTCTAAAGGAGACAGCCAAGGGCTCCGCTGGGTCTTCTTAATGAACTGTCAGGCCGTACCTTCTGCCGAGTCACTCCCAGTTCCTCCCTGGCTTCTGGGGATTTCACATGGACTAGCTGTCTGGGGAACTTGGGTATTAAAGATTTCTGAATCTCACACATTAGCTGTATAGCTGTAACTTCTTCAGAGGAATGTCAGGAAAACTCATCGACTTGAAAACTGTGAAATGTGTTGGCCTTCAACTGACAAGGTGTCTGTTCTCTTCTTCTCTGTACCTCCCCTGCTTTCCACCTGGCATTGGCAGCTGTTGGGCATAGGTTGTTTACATTATGGGGTCACATTAAAAGTGACTTCCTCATCAACATTGTAAGGGGTAAGATGCCTGTGGAGTTTCTGGTTTCATTAGGGCTATTGTTGTTGTTAAGTGCTGTCGAGTCGATTTCGACCCATAGCGACCCAGTACAGGGTTTCCGAGGTTGTAAATCTTTACGGGAGCAGACCGCCTCATTTTTCTCCCGCGGAACCGCTGGTAGTTCGAACCGCTGACCTTGAGGTTTGCAGCCCGATTCGTAACCACTCCGCTACCAGAGCTCCTTGTTGTTGTTGTTGTTGTTAAGTGCCGTCGAGTCGGTTCCGACCCATAGCGACCCTGTACAGGGTTTCCGGGGGTGTAAATCTTTACTGAAGTAGAAAGCCTGATCTTTCTCCCGCGGAGCAGCTGGTAGTTTCGAACCGCTGACCTTAAGGTTCGCAGCCCGATTCGTAACCACTACGCTACCAAGAGCTCCTTGTTAAGTGCTTTCAAATCGGTTCTGTCTCATAGTGACCCTGTATAAGGTTTCCTGGTGTGGCACTGTGGGTTAATGCGCCAAACTGCAAAGCCGCTTGAACTGCAAGGTCAGCGGTACAAGTTCACCAATCACTCCTCGGACACCCTATACAAGGTCGCTATGGGTCGGAACTGACTTGACGGCACTTAACAACAATGACAACATAAGGATTCCAAGGAGTGATAGTGGATTTGAACTGATGACCCTGAGGTTAGCAGTCCAGTACTTATCCTATAGCACCACACCAGGAGTTGAGTGAAGTACATTTTAAGGAAATAGATACTTACTATACTGCCCCTTCTATGATGAGTGTCTTGGCCCTTTTCTCCTCCCACACTTCCAATGGTTGCCCCAGACTTTTTAGAGAGCACTGATATACTCGGAGCTCCAAAATGCAGCCTATACATTTAAGAACGTCTTACTCCTGGCCTGTGGGGCAGTGGTGATTTAGTAGTAGAATTTTTGTGGTAGACCCCAGTTCAGTTCCATGCCAGTGCACAGCACGCACCACCACTATTCCTCTGTCCATGGAAGCATGTGTGATGGGAATGCTGAACAGGTTTTATTGGAGCTTCCAGACTAAGAGAGACTAGGAAGAAAGACCTGGTGATCTACTGCTGGAAATCAACCAATGAAAACCCTATGGATCCACAAGCAATCATGGGAATAGTGCAGGACCAGGCAGTGCTTTATTCCACTGTGTATAGGGTCACTATGAGTTGGGCTAGTTCAATGACTAGTAAGAGCAATAGCAATCCCTAGTTGTTGTTGTTGTTAAGTACCGTGGAGTTGGTTCCAACTCATAGTAACCCTGCATAGCGTTTCCGAGGCTGCAGATCTTTACAGGAGCAGAACACCTCATCTTTCTCCTGCGGAACAGCTGGTAGTTTCAAATTGCTGACCTTGAGGTTAGCAGCACGATTCATAACCACTACGCTACCTACCAGAGCAATCCCTAGTGCTTCCTGGTAAGTACTTTCCTGATAAATACTTTAGCGAACTAACAAGTAAACCACCTCCAAAAGTATGGGACTTTTTTCTCTTGTTGCTTCTGAAAAGCATCTGCTTCCTCGGTTTTCACATTTGGCTACCTGAAAGGAGAAAGCTGATAGTGAATTAGGGGACATGTTGTTGTTGTTAAGTGCTGTCAAGTCAGTTCTGACTCACAGCAACTGTGTATAGGGTTGGTGGGTTTGAACTGCCAACCTTGTGGTTCACAGTCCAGTGCTGATCGTACAGTGCCACACAAAGATGCAGAGTAAGGTTACTTGAATCATAGGTATAAAGTTTCACAGGTTTCGTTTATGTGGACATTAAACACTTAGACTATAACCTGTGTATGCTGGAATGGAGTAAGAATTTGGCAAATGTCTGACATACAACTAAGCCACATGACTCAAGTCAGAAAGGTCACCTTGAGATATTTACTCCTTACCCAGTTGCCATCCAGTGCCAACTCATGGTGACCCCAGCCGTTCTGAGCAGAGCCCTTAACTGGCTCACTCCGGTTCAACCCTGACTGAGAGTTGCATCTGAGCTGGCACAGATATTCCTGAGTTAGAATCTACATTTTAACAGTATCTTAAGGAGCTCTGGTAGCGTAGTGGTTACGAATCGGGCTGCAAACCTTAAGGTCAGCGGTTCGAAACTACCAGCCGCTCTGCGGGAGAAAGATGAGGCTTTCTACTCCTGTAAGGATTTACACCCTTGGAAACCCTGTACAGGGTCGCTATGGGTCGGAACCGACTCGACGGCACTTAACAACAACAACAACATGTACACATAGGAGTCCTGATGTGGCGCTGTGGGTTAATGCGCAGGCTACAAAGTGGTTTGAACTACAAGGTCCGTAGTTCAAGCTCTCCAGCCGCTCCTCAGAAACCCTGTACAGGGTCATTTTGGTCGGAACCGAGTTTGATGGCATTTAACAACAACATGTACACATAGGAACGTGGTAGCTCCATGTGATAAGCACTACATGTGGTAAGCACAAGTCCATGGTTCGAGCCCACCAGCAGCTCTGAGGGAGAAAAACGAGGCTTTCTGCTCCTGAGAAGATGTAACACCTGGGAAATCCTATAGAGGGCCACTGTGAGTGTGAATTTCCTCACGGGCACTTAACATAACAACATGAACACATAAGAATTACCCCAGAGTCTAAAAGATTCATCTGGAATCTTGTTAAAATGTAGGATCTGATTCACTGTTTCTGGGATGGAAATGGAAATTCTCACCAGGGGATTGAACCAGAAGGCACAGGAACAAAGGCCTGGTTCAGAGTAAAGTTGTGCTTCATGAGGTATCCAATGGTTAGTTTTCAGGAATGTATCACAGAAGCGTCTCTGGATGGATTCAAACCTCCATCCTTTCTGTTAGCAGCCATTTGCAGTACCCAGGGACTCCTAACTACTGAGAGGAAGGCAGCTAGTTTCCTGATTTCCCCTTAAGACAATACAGATAAGCTCAATAATATTGCTCAGAACATTGAACACTAGCATTTGCTCTATAATCCCTTTGGAAATGTGGGTGAAGTTTATCCTGTCTTTGAAGACTGCCTGTTCTTTATGCAAAATAGAATAAGTTGCACCAAGTAAAAGTTAATGACATGCAAAGTACTTAAGTTATACAAAACAACAATCCAATAAGACTGTGATTGTTTCTGAAGTGCTGCCATAGTTAGAGTACTTTTCTCTCTTGATCCCTGTAATAATGTAAATGAAAGAACGAAATAGGAAAGTCTGGCCTGAGCGCCTCTCAAAGCAACCATTGAAAGATTATTTCAAAAAACAGTCACAAATTTAAATGATTATACAATCTGTACAGGTGCAGGCTTTTGAAATTTAAAAAAAAGGTATCTTGAGACTCAAGAGTGTAGTCTTTGTTTAAAGTTGTACTATGTCTAGGAATTGAATTAATGTGGTCAGAAATTATCAGCCTCTTTATGATTCTTGAGAATGACCATTTGACCAGGGTATTATTAGTGCTCTAGCATGAGACATACACACTGCCATCTTTTAAAGTCCCTATTAAAATTAAAGAGCTTATGTTTCTGTCTTTGGCAAAATTTAAATATTTGGGTCATTGTGGGGGAAGTGTGCAATAGAGCCAGTGCCTTCTCCGGGTGTATTTCCATTTTCAACTGTATCTGTTTAGGTACTGCTTACAAATTTTTCACATTTGTGTAGACTGCACCTTGATCAAGCAGCAGAAAGTTACCTGAGATGAAGACTTGTCCTCTGCACCCTAACATGAGCATACTAACTACTCTGTCACATGAAAGGCAAACTAAAAATAGGTAGGAATATAGCTATGGTCCCTTATTATTATTATTTCCATATTGTGCATCTGCTTAGATGAGTGCAGTTATGCATTGAAGAAAATCTTGGTTGTATAGTTTTCTTAAAATCCAGATTGAATTTGATTGACTTCCTAGCCCTGCCCATTACACTCATATTTCTGGGGCCTCCTCTTTAATTTCTCTAGACACAGACCAGGTTGTTGTTCTCTGGGAGCTATTCACCCCATTATTAGAATTTGGAAGGGTGTTTTATGGAGCTCTGGCAAGATGGAAATCATTTCTCCTTTTTGGGCAGGGTCTTGCAGAGGAAAAAGGTGGGAGAAGGGAGGGAGATTGCTGGCATCAACCATCCGAGACCCCTCAGGAAAAGGCATCATAGAAATGTGAAGCAATGCTTGTTGATACTAAATGCAGCTTTCCAGAGTCAAGGACTGTTTTATGAGTCTGTCTTACCAGCCGCTCCTTGGAAACCCTACTCAGTATTGCTATGAGTGGGAACCGACTTGACAGCATAGCAACAATAACTGCACCCCCTAGAATCTAATTAACATTTACCTTGAACACACTCTATGTTCTTTATATAATATTTACATTTTATTGAAGATAATCTAATGTTGTTGCTAAATGCCATTCAGTTGATCCTGATTCTTAGCAACCCTGTATAGGTTCCTGAGGAATGGCTGGTGGGTTTGAACTGCCGACCTTGTGGTTCACAGTCCAGTGCTG